GTTAAATCTTTCATGATTTCAATTCCTTATCTGTTGGTATTAAAATAGCATACTACTTATTCAGTCATGATTTTTGCTTTCTTAACATTCACCTGCAATCCTTCTTTTAAATTTTCTTCTTTCACCAGGAGTAGTTGCAATTCATTGCTGCTTTCTGCCAATAATATGGTATTATCTGCATATCTTAAATTGTTGATTTATCTTCCACCAATTTTCACAGTTTCTTCCTTTGATCCTAATCCTAACCCTAAACTTGTTTTCCTTATAATATCTTTTGCATACAGATTGAACAGAAAGGAAGATAAAACAAACTCTTGACCGATACCTTTGCCTATGAGAAACCATTCTGTTTCTCCATATTCTGTCCTAACAGTAGCTTCTTGTCCACAATAATGGTTGCACACCAGGACAATCAACTGCTGATGCACACTCATTTCTTTCAGGATCATCCATAGCTTCTCATAACCCATATAGTCAAAAGCTTTGCTGTAGTATAGGAAACACAGACTAATCTTCTGAAATTCTTTGGTGTGCCTCCACCATTGCAATACGAACTTTAAGTGCCTCTTCTTTTTTGGAATCTCGCTTGAACTTATCACTCCATATAGGATAAAATTCTTTTTTGTCACACCTTGAACATTGGTTGCATGGGAAACTAATGCAATGGCCCTGTAGCCCTATAGCTGCTGTTGTTCAAATTAAGCTGGAACCAACATAGTTCTAGTGCAGTTTGTACGAATCACCCTTGCATTCATCCCATGTAAGCTGATTAATCAATTTATCAAAGTTTAACAAGATATATAAAGATACATCTCTGAGAAACCAGTATATATTTCCAGGCAGATAATATAATTTGGGCAGCACCAAACCTGTCAGTTTACAAGCATATTGTGGGTTACTGTTTCTTCTACAGAAAATAGTTCAGACTTTGACCAGTTAATTAAATAGCCTGACAAAAGATCAAAGGTCTTACTCAATTGCATCAAAGCAAGATTTGACAAAATACACAGTAAGAGATTGTCAGCCCATAAAAATAATTTTAAATTATAGACAATTATAGACAAATATGGGGTTCCTACTTTGCATTAAAGATAATCCATGTCTAGTACTTTTATTTTAAAAAAATTAAAAATAAGAAAAGCTTGGCACTTGAATACATTTAAAGAATTCTACAAATAAAGTAAAATTTCTGAATGTTACAAAAACTAATGTTCAGTAAATTTTGTCTAAGGACTTTTAAGCATCCAAAAGAAATCAAGCATCTAGAGCAGTGGTGGCAAACCTATGGCACACATGCCACAGCGGGCACACAAAGCCCTCTCTGTTGGCACATGAGACAAGTTGTCCCAGCATCACACCCCAGCATTGGATAACAGTGCACATAGGGGCCATGCGCATGCTCAGAAAGGAGTAGCGGTGCCAGGCAATGACATCACGAGCCGTGACTCATTAGCTGCAATTCGTTCGAGCTTTTGCATGGCTGGTCAATGTGAGTTTTAATACATTCGTTTTTATTAACACAAGATTTTAGCTTTGACTTTTCTTATGAAAAAAGAAAAAACTAATATTAAGATTTAGCAAAGAGACATTCTAATTAAGAGACTGAGATTCTTTTAATGTTGTGCTGTCCCCCTGGCATATTTGAGCCAAGGTTTGACAAATTATCAGCATGCATACAACAAAGATCACATTAATTGTGCAAAAGCATGCTAAATGCAAACTTTTACCTTTCAATAAAAAGCTGTTTGTATCATTGAAAGCTTTGTTATTTTGTTTTTCTTTTAATACAAAAGAAGTTAATATATGAGTTGTTTTTTCTAAACTAAAACTTCAGTATTCAGGTTTTATTGCAGTGTTGGCACTTTGCGATAAATAAGTGGGTTTTGGGTTGCAGTTTGGGCACTCGGTCTCTAAAAGGTTTGCCATCACTGATCTAGAGTCATGAAAATGGCCTCTTCCCCAGGCCTGGAAGGCACAAAGATGGTCACTGCGGCTGCAGCTTCGCAAAGTCAGAAGAGGGAAGAAGTGCTGCATGGGGACCACTTGCCCAATGATCCCAGCTATCAGATCCCCCATACTTCATGCTTGTAGGGGACACCAGGGGGAAGACTTGGGAGGTCACCCTGCCAGTACCCCAGACTGCCATTGCTGCCTTCCATCCCCCACCCTGCAACAGTCATGTTCCTCGGGACTCAAGACTGTAGAATTCCCCAAAGCAGCCACCAACACCCCAGAAGAGAAATGCAGGATGCTGACAACACCCCCTGTTGGACAGCCAAAGCAGACGTTCTCTCAGTGTCTCATTTCCCCATCTTCAATCCATTCTATCCTGGTTTCAGGTTTGATTTTTTTCTACGTCTGCACAATTCATGAGCATTTTAGTGTGCATCTTTCTTAATATGCAAAAATGTGTATGCATTTTGCCTAATATACCTATTTAAAATATGTAATATATGTATATATGGAACCCAGATACCTGAAGGAATGCCCGTGGCCATATTTGCCCTCCCGCCCCTTGGGATTGGCAGCAGGGGCTCTCCTCTGGGAGCCTTCTGTAAGAGATATCAGGAAACAAAGTATCCAGAGGAGGGCTTTCTCTGCGGTGGCGCCCCATCTGTGGAATGCGCTCCCCAGAGAGGTCCGCCTGACACTGTCAGTATTTGTTTTTCGGCACCAGGCCAAGACCTTTGTATTCAAACAGTATTTTAATAATCTTTAATATTTATAGTTTTAATTATGCAGCCAGAGTGTTTCCAAGTTTTAATTGTAATTCTATTTGTTTTATTTATTTGTTGTTGTGAGCCATGCCGAGGCTGTGTAGCAATGGGGACAGCATATAAAAACTTTAAATAAATAAATAAAATATTCACCCCAGAATATACATTTTTCCTTTAACTTTGGTTTTGTATGCATCTTTTATCAGAGGCATAAAGAAATTTGGAGATGTACAAATCCAGAAGGATAAGTACATCCCTGCTTTCACTTGAAGCAGCAGCAAAGGAAGATCTGACCCTCTTTGCACCTGAACTTCCTTTGCAGGTAGTCAGGTAGTCACTAAAAAGAGAAGACATTTATCCTCTGCTACCTGATCTGTAAGGTAAGCCACTAATAGTCATCATACTGACAAGTATTTTTACCCTAAAGAACATGGGTCTCTCACTCCCGTGCACCATGGTCCTAGGTGAGAATTTATCATGGACTGGACTGCCCTGGAAAAGGGCCTTTGCTCAGTAGTAAAACACATGCTCAGAAAACCTGAAGAACCACTGCATCAGTGTACACAATAGTGAGTTAGGTTGACTTGATTCATTTGCCTGGCATGGCATATGGCAGACTTCATCATTTCCCCATTGCTTCTATGTCAGTTGATGATAAAAGCCTCCACACAATGGACATTTGTGCTAAAGCATCCCGGTTATTGGTTTTACTGTAGCAGACTTATTGATACCCATTTGCTGATATCTGATTGTAATATTTCTAATCTTCCAAGCATGGCTTTTCATAAATATTACAGTGCAAAAATAATCATTCTTGATTGCTCAGGTCTCTTTTTGCGTGCATTGACCCAAACTGGCTCATGCCATTTCTTCCTCTGCCCAGTTATCCCACAATGCAGGTTCACATGTTTCAGATTTAGCTGAGAGGTATATGGATTTAGCCTAGAGTAGCTGCCATAGATTAATTTTCCCGTTTCCCTGTTTGCAGAATTACTATGCAGTTCATCCCATATTTCCACATCCAGAAGGCAAAGACAAAATTAAAGTAGCTATTTTGCATAGATGAACTGATCTATCCTTCCAAAACTTTTTTTAAAGAAACATTCTTAATTTCAGCAATTTAGCAGCTGGGATGAGTCAGCAACACTGGAAACTGAGTTGGACAATTGGCTCAACTAACCCAGTATTTTCAACCCTGATGAATAGTGAAATGAGGCTGATGTAGTAACAACAATGAATCATTAAGGCATGCAAGGTAGGCCCTGCTGTGTCCATCCATCCGTCCTCCCTCCCTCCCTCCCTCCCTTCACTTTTGGTTGGTTGGAAGTCATAGCTCATAAAAATTTGTTCTTGAAAATATCTGGGATAAAAGTGAATGTCAATGCACTTTTAAATGTGATATAGGAAACAAGCAGACAGCAAAAGCTGTCACAGGAAGCCTTTACAGTTGCAAAGAGATGTTAGTAACAACCCTGCATGAGTTCAGAGAGAAAAATGAGCTACAATTCCTAGTATATACCATCCAGCTTTTTTTCTGACTAAACTTACAAAGGATTGTGCCATTATACACCAAACGGGATTGAAAAACACCCACCACTCAATTGATGATGTTACCGCCTTGCTAAATTAGAATTTATTTCCTACACCAAAGTTGCATGGGTACTTCTTTAGATAATATATGCATACCTTCTATTAAAATTTATATTTGAAATGTGAATGGTCATCTTCCCTTCCTTTGTGCTTTATTTTGTTCTTTTCTCTTTTTCCCCACCTTTTTTACCTTATTTCAAGGGAGATGTTACTAATTGCTATCTGTTTCATGTATGACTATTTCCCTTGCTTTGCTTGTTGCTGTTACTGTGTTTTTACAGTTAAAACATTAAACACAAGCACTGACTGACAGTGGGTCTATTGGATTTCAGGCAGGATTTTTTTATTTCCAGCTGTACCTGGAATTGCCCACACCTGAACCTGGAAGCTTCTATGCAGGAAGCCCACAGCTGAACCTGGAAACTTATATGTAGGAGCATCCACTTTCAGGCTGACTAGATTTTTCAAAAATAGCCTCCTCATGTTTGCACCTGTAGCACATTTGTGCCTCCTGAGATATGGTGAATCACATCCAAAATCATAAAAGAAATTTCTGAGCCCTCTGTGGAATCTTTCTAATTTTTCTACTGGCCTACATGTTATCCACCCCATGAAATGTTGCAAGACACATTGGCACCAACAGCAGCCAACTGGATGGCAGTTACGATACCTTTCCAGGTCAAAACCACTTACCATATTACAGGGGTGGCTACTGTTTTTGGTGCCTGCTGTATAGCATTCGCAAGGTTTGCAAACATCCACAGCCGAGAGATTTACGTCTATATGCTGATAGAAGAAATCCTTACACAACTCACAGTTTCTTCCTGCATAAAGGAAAGGTTATGCATTATAGCTTCCAATTCATTAAAATTAGCTGTATAATTCAAAATTAAAGACTATTCCTTTGAGAGAATTCTATAATTTTCAGGACGTCCATTTTAATGCACCTTTCATCTCTACCTGCCAATTTAGTGATCCAGAGCATATGAAACAATGAACCTGTTACAAACGGTGTTTTACTCCATTAAACTTCCATCTGTTACATAACACAACACTCATATAAATCTATTCTGCATGAATATCTATTCTGTAATTTTTTTAAAAGAAGTTACACTTGAACCACAAAGTTTCCATGCTGTCCTCACTGTTTCAAATTGTCTGATGCAACATGAGACACCAAAGCAAATTTGGCCAATTAACCATGTTCAATGCATCTTTGTTGGAAGAACTCTACAACCAAGTGAGTGTGCTGTTGAAGCACTGACTGACCTTGTGGTCCAGAGAAATCCTTTGGTATAAAAGCACTATCAGAAAGAAATGGGTGGAGGTAAAGTAAATCCTAACACACCACCAATCTCATGCAAGTGCAAGATGTTCTGGGTACAAACATGCCGAAAGGTCTTTAGAGAATCTTCAGTTTCAATCAGATCATGGTGCCCATGCTAATTGAAATAATGGAAGTATGTGTTCATCATTGCTTCCTGATGGCATCACTATACCTGTCCAGTTTTGTCCAACTGGTTTCCAGGAAATATTGCTTATACTCGCTGATGTACCACTGTGTAGATGAATTGGGATACTTTACCTGCCACCACATGTAGACTGATGACTCAGATTTGTCCTGTGGCAGTTTCAAAATGCTCAGCTGTTATCAATCTGCCCAATATGTCTTGTTCATGCAGTTGGAAATTTCAAATATGGTGGACTGGTATACTGATTTTGTGGGATCCAGAGCTACATAGAGCAGAGCTCCACTAACAAGACACTCCCCTGGTTGGAGGAGAGGAAACCTTTGGATATTGCTACTACCCATGTTCCCCAAGCCTGCCCCCCATGGTTGGGGAATCCCTTAGAACACTGTGGGTGGCAGAGTTGGAAACCACAGCAGGAAGAAAAAAATCAGCAGGGATCACCTTCCTCTACTTCCTTTAGCATCAGCCTTTACTTGGTCAGAGTTAGTAAAATACAGACCGTATTGCTGATTGCCTTGTATAGTGGGTCTTACTTATCTTGGCAACCACTCTGTCAAGATTCAGGGTGGCACCCATACCTTTAAGAATATTTTCCTCTCTGTTCATGCATGACCTAATTAGCAGCAACCCTCCTGGTATTTTGACAAGAGTCCTTCACAGCCCTTCCTTGACATGCCACAAAGAAACATAGAGGTTTTGAAGGCAAACTATGTGTCTACCTACCACTGTTCTTCACCACCTGATGCATAGGTGACACATGTTAATCTAAAAATAATAGAATGGGCAGAGGCCTTAGGTTCACAATACTCAGAGATATATAGGCATACATACATCTGATATGTCCATACTTTGCATGGCAAATGTGGTAATGGCTACAGACCTACAGAATACACCACACAATACATCTACATTTCCAACCAAGTGAAGCACTCTTAGCTCTTTATTTTTCATAACATTGTTTTTGTGATTCATACATTTATGCAACAGTACCAATCAATTCAATTTCCTGCTCTGATACATACCATGGCATGCAAATTTGCTCACACTTCAACCCCAGATGTAATGATGCTTCGGAATGATTGCAAGAGTCAACCACAATGCACATATAGATTCTGTTCTATCATGTGAATTACCTGTGGTGTTATGTTGACAGTTATCACAGACTCCACCACCACCTCTGTAGTGTTCATTAGGAAAAGAATCCATTGTCCTGTTGTAGTGACAGCTTATTGCATGGCCATAACATTCACAAGGCTTGCAATTATAAGCATGAACTTGATCTCCTGAATGAAAAGGCTTGTCATTGTACAGTGGCCAACATTGATCACACTGGAACAACAGGAGAATTAGAAAAGATTACAGCTAAGAATAGCTACCTAGATCCAACTGTACGTATTATACTATCTTGTGGCTAAATTTAAAACAACTATTGAAGGGAAGACAAGGAAGGCAGGCAGGCAGACAGACTTCCACAAGAATTCGTAGTTTGCAAACCTTGTGACGCAATCCTAATTCATCTGGAATTACAACTCCCATATGTTCTTACATTTTTACTTTTCAGGAAGCAATTCACTGGTGAAGTTTCCTGTACATTTAGTTCTGGTGGGCTTGTGATCAATGAAGCTCTCATGATTACATAAACAGGGAGTCCTCTTGAGCACAGTAGGCACAATTCTTTGATTTCAGTGTGATAAGTACATGTTTTAATTCTTCCCAGGGGAATTAAATGGAATACAACATAAATACAGGTTTGATTGTACAGGCACTTTTAGTTACCTAACTCATAGCATAATATGTCAGCTTTATTTGTTTATGAGAGAACAGTATCTGTGAATCCTGCAGAATTGTTCTCAATATTATTCATCTTAATAATGTTGTGCATTTAAATGATGTAAGATTTTATAATTTTTTGTAAACTACTTTAGGGTTGTTCAGATGGGAAGCACTATATAAATATTTTTAATAAATAAAATATAGTCACAAAATAACTTTAGTTGGATTCATGTTTATATTATAATCTGCAGCAAATATTTTTCCATTGAAATATTTCACACTGGTGATTTGTGTTTCTTTGCCAAAGAAAAAATTCACCTTTTGTTTTAGGTAATTAATGAATGATATTGTGAACAACTAGAGTTTAATTATTGTGAAGTGTCTAATTTATTAAGTAGTAAACATTTCAATTGGAATCTACACAGCTGTTAATGTTAAGGCTAGAAAATATCATTAATTAGAAGTTGCTGTGCTTATATTAAACATCATGTTCACAAATGTTTAGTGCTTTGCTAAAACCAGGAAAAAATAAGGATTAAAATGATGATGATTTCCATCATTCAGAAAGGAGACTAAATTATTTAAATATATTGCCCTCTACATATAATTCATTGAGCTTTGCTATACTTAAACCATTCCTTCACTGCATTTCCCAGCTGCAACTGCATCACATGTTAGACTAGACAAAATTGGATCTTTATGGATAAAATGGAGACCTTTCTTGTTTATAGAATCACTGTATTTCAGCTAATTAAGAAAATTAGGTTTCTTCCTCTTCCTCTTCAAACAAGAATGGCTTTACTGGCTTTCAAGAGATGATGAGAGTATTAACAAAGTGATCAACTAGAAGTCTTTAAATAATTCAGGAATAATTCACTTAGATGCTTAACAAGTGGTCTTTATAGTAGTGTTAATATGTAGTTAACTCCATTGTGAGCATGCTTCTGTTATGAAATGTTTTCTTAGGGGAAGTACCTTTAGAAAAATGTGTTTGTTAAGGACATTTCCATCAAAGGTTTTGTTAGCATACGCCCTTCTCCACAGCGGCACCATAACTGTATGAAACACCCTTAGCATGTCTTGTGAGAACTTCTCTTTGCATAGTATTTTACATACTGATGTGGTGAGTTCCTGGACATCATGTTGTTGCTATTATACATATTATAATTTGTTGTCCTAAAAATGTTTAAGGGAAGAGTATCCTACTTCCCTTCATGGGTTCCATATCTACATGTAGAGGAATGTTCATATAGCATAACAGTTTTCCCCCTATAATATATGTAGAGCATCAGGTTTTGTTTCATGAAAAACCCTGTGTGTGATGAATAAATGGAAAGGTGCAGGAACCATGGGAAGTATATAAACCTATCTTCTTTAACAACCTGTTGTACTCATTGAGTGCACACTTATGTGCATGATTCAAGTGCCCTGTGATACTCTATGAAGATGGCTACACATGCAGCTGCTTTTTGTATCCAGGAAAGTAATTGCATTGCCTTGTGTAAGGATACTTTTCTCAAAACACAGTATTCCAAGCTAGAGAGTTAAGATTCTGAATGTGAGCAAAAAGAAGCAAAGAGGGTTGGGATGCATTACGGAAATGTCAGGGTAAATGAGCCATGAGACTAGCCATGTGGCTGGTGAAAACCTTATGGCTTGGGGTGATACACTGTGGAACATGGAGGGTCAGAAGGAGAAGGATATGAAGTTATCAGCCCAGTGGCCCATCACTGACTCAAATGAATGAGCCAATTTAGCAATATCTAGTATTCTCACCATCTGATACACAAACACCACAAACCTCCCTGAGGGTGGAGCCAGCCCTTTTTGAGGAAGAGGAAGGAGGCTGTTTCAGTCTGGAATCAACTTCTGACATCAGCAAGTGCAAACTCCACAAATTAGAAGGATTGTTATCCTGATAGATGCTACTTGTTAACAAGTTTTATTTTACTTTGTTTCACAGATTTTAAGACTGTATAGCAAAGCCAGCCCAACAGGCAATCCTAAATAAAGTCTTTCACGTCAATCTTCAGGGAAAGGGAAGAGACATGATCATGGCAGCTTGATTCAACATTCTTCTTCCTTTGGCATGCTTCCAGTGTCATTATGGAAGAAATGGTTGAAACTATCATCACAGGGATTTAGGCATTTTCCAACCCAGGCTGCTCCAAGCTAAACATGCATGCTGTTGGGCTGTGGGATTGTGCTACCCCTGTGGACAGAAGGGGTGTTTAGCAAGAGCATGCATATTCATCAAACCCATCTCCACATTCCTGCACAACTGTAGCTCCAAGCTTGATGGGTGGCACTAGCTTGAAAAGGTTCAGGGCATCAGGGAACAGTGAGGAGGGAAATCTCATCCTGCTCAAACCTTGTGTTCAAAGCATGCCTAAGGACCCCACAGGGGAAGCAGGTAACCACACACATTTAATGGATCCAGGGTGACAGCAAATTACTTACCTCTTTATTCAGCTGAACAGAACCACCTTGTGACTCTCTCCTTAAGTTATCTACATACTACAGACCTAAATACCTCTGCATGGTAGACCAGATCACACATTTATGCCGCCTTCTTATGTTTATCATTCAAGACCTTACAAAACAGATTCCATTCTACTGAACATAGATGCTCCAGTACACAGTGGTGTTAGGCATGACATGGCTAGCCATATGCAACCCCCACATTTCTTGGGGGACCAAACTGCACTGTTCTCTTCTATTTTTATGTTCTCAGTGTTGCTGCCTGTGGATCAGCACTCTCTTGGCACAAACAATCTTCCTTCAGAATTCTCCTCAGGATATGGCAGCCAAATGGCTTCTCCAGTTGCCCTCCCTGCAAGTACCAAGAATTTCAAGAAGTATGCAAGCCAAAGGAGGCAGGCTACCTTCCCCTATGTCTCACTTTCAGCTGCACCATTGACTCAATTCCAGAAGCTTCCATTCCTGTTGGAAGTTGGAGACCTTGTCTATCAAAGAATTGGCTGTACTATGAGAATGTGTTGGTGCCAACCTAAAATGAGGTTTTTTCCCTCCTCTTCTCTGTCTGGGGCCCCTTGTTTGTGTACCTAAAAAAAGTCAGCTGTGCATGACCTTAGAATCAGAATCACAGTCCTGAATAAGTATCCCATTCTGTTTCCCTGGAACTGTTAGAATGCTTAAGTAAAGCTCAGATTTTCACCTAGATTATAAGGCATTTATAATTTGGTAAGAGCGCTGAAAGGAGATGAATGGAAAACTGTTTTTCACACCAGATGCGGTATTTTTGAATATCTGGTGATTATCTGCCTTTTCTATTTACAAGATGTGTATATCCCATCTTGGCAATTCCAGGAAAAAGTATTGAATTAGTGTGATGATATTCCTACTGCAGGGCATTTTGGACTACATGAAATTCTGTATTATTGACCCATGATATTTGGTGACTGTGTATGCAACAATTTTTGGTGAATGCTAAAAAATATGCATCATATGCTATTTGTCAGTATGCAAAACAACCAACTGGAAAGCTGGTGGGGCTTCTACAGCCCATCTCTGCTCCCCAGGAGAATAGAAACTTTTGTTATTGGATTTTATCACTGACTTGCCTTCCTCATAGGGCAAACTGCTATTCTGGTAATGGTGGCAGATATATTAACTTTATTCCCTATGAGACTCTCTGAAGGACAGCGGAACTATTTGTTCAATGTCTTCCATCTGCACAGATGGCCTGATGCATTCATGTTAGATTGCAGCACACAGTGGATGGCACCTTTTCAGTGAAAGCTTCTTTCTATCAGAGATGGATCTTCCATTGTCAATCCCAGATGGATGGACAAACTGAGCAACTTCAGAGATGGATTTGCACCACTGTGTCAATTTTCAGCAGGTTAATTGGTTCTCTCTTTTGCCACTACCAGAACTTGCTTACAACAATGAGCCACACTCTTCCACCCAATATAAACCACCTTTTAGTTGCTAATTTTGGCTACCACCCCAAGTCCTTCCCCCCACATATTAGATTGTGGCTCTGTGCCAGCAGTGACCAATTTTTTTTGGAGGAACTGTGTTAGGTGCATCTTCTATTACAGGAGCAGTTAGGAAAGCTTAAATTGGATTGCAGAATAGTCACTAATGCCTGTTCCCAGAAGGGCATGGCTTTGCAGATGGGGAACAGAGACTGGGCGTCTATTCAGTATTTGCCTTCCCAATCTACCAGTAAGAAGCTGGCTGCTTGTTGCATGGGCCTTTTCAAATTGTGGCACAAATCAACCCATGGCCTTCCAGCTGCTGTTGCCTCCTTTCATGCAAATCCATCCTGCTCTCCACTCCCCTGTGGTTGCCAGGGCCCCTCACCACTCGCTTTCCTCTCCACTACCTCCCATTATGGTGGATTGGGAAGAGGAGTCTGAGGTTGCTGAGATCTTGGACTGCAAGTGCTTTTGTGGTTGTTTGAAATATTTGGTGATTTGGAAGGGCTACCATTCTGAGGAATGCTCTTGGGAGTCAGTGGTACATACGCTTTCCCTCACTTAATTCCACATAATTCTTTTCCATAACTGATGCCCTCAGAAGCCAGA